TTAAATTTAAATGCGCGTGTTGTAATTAAAATTGACTTTTCCACATTGGGCCTTTTGTTTTTGCGCAGCGCGCAATGCGAAATGCGAAATGCCAAAAATTATGCAACACATGCGAAAGTGCGAGCAGCTGTTGACATATTCCGCCAGCGGCCATTTTGTAGCCAACACCGGCAGCCGCCGCCGCCGCCACACTGTCATTATCTGCCAGAGCGAGAGGTAATCAAAAAGAGTGAGAGAGATAGGGAGAGAGTGAGACGGAGTGAGAGAGTGCAGGCTGGCCAACAACCAACTGCCATTGAGATGTGCAATGTTAACGGCTCAGAGCACACAAATCGAGTATTGGATCACGAAAAAACGGCTGAAGCTCGCATTCCGTTCGGCTTATGACAACATTTTAATATAATGTCAAACATTGTTTGCGCACTGCCATATTCAATTTCGTGGCCCATAATGAAAGCATTGCCACAGCACAAGAATTCGGCTCGGTTATCCAATGCATTTATTTTTCATTTCCTTTTTTTAGTTTTTCTTTTTTTTTTGGCATTTTTATATCCACAAAATGGTTTATTAGAGCCACGCCGGCATAGCTGTTGCTGAATTGTTGTGGTTGCTGTCCATGCTGGCCACTCTTTAAAAGAAGAAAAAATTTTATATACAATACATGTATATATATATATATGTATATATAATACAAATAAAATTGAGATACAGCGCAAAATGGGAGCGTTTGCGACAGGCTGCCATTTGCATTGGTCCATGGATGCTTTGCTATGGATGCTAGGCATAAATTCTATTATAAATAACATTTAGCGTACGCGAGTTTGGCAACTGTCAGCAATGGAAATTGGAAAATATATGTACACACATACACATCTATATATGTATGTATATTTATACACCCATATACATATATTCATATTATCGTCGGAATATGCAGACTGAAGCCAATACAAATTGCGGTTTCTAGATTGAAAATAGTACGAGTTTTTGCTATATACATATACATATGCGCGTGTGCCTGTGTGTGTATGTGTGTGTATCTTTTTGTGTGCATCTGACGCATAATCAGATTCCAAAATTAAATTTGCGGTTGCGTGGCGGCCAAGCTAGGCTGAAACAATTATTAAGTGCTTCTGACATGGTCATTGTTAGCATTGAATTAAGCCAAATAGCTACTTAAAAAGGCTAAATAAACAGCGTGAATGTTATGGAAAACGTGAATATATAATTTCTATTCAACACACAAAAGTTTCAATATACACATATATCACTAAGCACACATATGTTCTGGTAAGTTTTGTTAGAGCAGTCTTGGAGCTTGTTAATTGTATAATTGGACTTCGAGTTGGTTCAACTCTCGAATTTCTCCAAAGAGGCCGCGCTCAATCAGCATAATGAAATGGACGTGCCCGTTCAATTAACTGGCCGCTGCAACAATAACAAGCGATAATTAAGGTTTAATAAACTGTTTGAGCGCGCGTATTACGCACATTACGCATCCGCCACGTGTGACACTACACATGTGTGAGTGTGTGTGTGTGGGTGTGTGTGTGTGTGTGTGGGTAAGCCATGCAAATTAATCAAATTAGCATCGTTAAGCCACGGCGTGCGACTTGTAATTGACTTCAAGCATGTTAACCACAAGATATCATATTTACTTAGCACAGCGAGAGAGAGAGAGAGAGATAGGGCGAGAGGGGAAAGTCTATAAAATTTAACTCTCATTATTTATATTGCGAATCGGCGCCTACTTTAAGATAAATGAACACGCTATATATTTTCTCCAGCTGGGCCGTGCCAAGCATAACATCAAATGCTTCTTGGAATGAAAAAGGCCATAAAAACTCAAGTTGTTTAGAGATTAAATTAGTTCCATGTATTTACGAATTGGCTGCCGGACCAGGCACCAGCACCAGGCCAGCAGCATCAGCACCAGCTGTGCGCATTAATTATTTGTTTTGCAAATAATTTAGTTTTCTTTTTTCTTGCTTTCGATTATCCATTAGCAATTGCTTGCAGCTTGCTGATAGACATTAGACAAATTAAATGTGTTCAATGAGAACGTTCAAAGAAAATCTGTTAAACAGTAGCCAGAAAATGGAAGCACGACATTAATAAAGCTTAAATGACAATAGTTTTCAATTTTATTATGTCACATGCTCGACATATGTTGGAATTCTTAAATTGGAGCCAGAAATCAATTAGAAAATGCAATTAACAATAATTGTTATTCGCTGTCAACTTTCCGCCCAGCACTTTCTCTATCTTGTCAATCGACCCGGGATAAGCATTTTAAATTATGTTGCATGTCCACATGTCAAATATAAAGTCGCCTCAATTCCAATAATTTTTAAATGAATTATCTTGCTGAGCTCTTAGCTTATCGTCGAATAGCTGGTGGTCAGTGCGTCCATTTAACTCGGCTCAGAATGTATTCGTTTATACGGTCTACTTCTGCTGCTCCTGCAGACAGCCTGTCCACACTCAATTGAGACTGGACAGTCAGAAATCAGCTATATCCACAGCATACTAGAGCAAGCTCACCAGGAAAGACCCATTGAGACTCTGGTGTATGTGAGCCGTCGACAGGACTTCAACTGCCACCTAAACGAAATCAAATCAGTTGGGTTAGCCACTCTGCGAATGAATGAGAAAACCGTGTTCAGTGTAAAGGGGCTCTACAATAGCCAGGCTCTTGCTGTGGTGTGCTTATCCGAGCTGGCAGATATCCTGCTGCTGCCCAACCTGGCCCAGAACTTTGATCGGATGAGAGACGCGCGCATCATAATTCTTCTACGGACTATATCATCCAATCTTCAAGACTTTCTACGCTTAATCAGTGATCAGGCCAACAATTACAACTTTGTCAATATCATCATTCTACATTCTGAATCAGAAGTCACAGATTCAATCGTAACATATCGTCTGCAGCCGTTTCCAACTCCAATATTTTCGCATGTTGGAAGTATATATGATGGATCATTATTTCCGAAGGTTAAATTTAATGGAAAAACAGCCCTCATTTTACCCGATTTGGTTCCGCCTCGTAGCATGCTGACAGTTAACCCTCGCACTGGAGGGAAGGTTCTTTGTGGATCATCTGATAGACTGATCATGGAGCTTGCCAAGAGAAACAATATAACTCTGCGTTTGCTGCAGCCTTTGGGCAACTCAGAGTATAGGGACTCAACAGATATTTATGAGTTCATTAAAGAAGGCATAGTTGATTTACCAATCAGAGGCTTAATGCAGTCACAGAATTTACCATACAATATTGAATATACAGACATTGTTGAATATTCAGATGTTTTTATTATAGTTCCCTGTGGAACTGATATAAAAACAGGCGATGTCTTCTCAGGCTTAAGAAATTACTTCAGAATCCTTTTAGTATCATATTTTATATTTGCAGTGATGGAAACATTCATCGATTTCGCAACGAATTCGATTCTCCGACGCAGACCCAATTATCAATACTGGAGCTTAGTCCTAAATTTGCGGGCATTTGCTGGAGTCTTGGGACTTCCGATGTATCAGAGGCGATATAGGAGTAGTATTTCATTGCAACAGATCACAATGCTGTTGTGCATTTGCGGTTTGGTGTTTACTTCATTTTTCAATGCCAATCTCAGTACCCTGCTGACAAAGCATCCGCAGGATACAGAAATCCAAAATTTCAAACAGCTCCGGGAAAGTAAACTAGATGTTATATTCGATAATATATTTCTCTACTCTCTTGAAACAAGTCCTTTTAGGAAAGCTTTCGAAAAGCTCATACCACATGCGAAATTTATTCCAACTAGTCAATACGTATATCAACTTTTCAATTTAAACTCTAGCAGTGCTTATCACATGCGTACAGATATCTGGAAATTTTTAGAGAAGCATCAGAAGTTTCATAATAAAATTAGGTTGTGTAGGTCCGACGGCTTGAACTTATTTAGCAGTGTTGCTCTCAGAACTGTTCTCAAGAGGAATTCAGTATTTAGGCAGGTGTATAGAGACTTTATACATGATTCTCAAAGATACGGATTATTAAAGCATTGGAACCGTGCGGCTGGGTTGAAAATGACGTCGAATCTAGTTTCTGGTTTACCGAAAACACTTGAAAAAGATGATGTTGAGTTTAAGCCGAATCCCTTAAATTTCATGGACTTTCTGTGGCTGTGGAAATCGCTAGGGGTATGCTACGCTGTGGCAGGCTTAGTTTTCATTGCAGAAATTTGTGTAGCCTATCGGCGGAAGAAACTGACTAGAAGGGAAGTCAATATAAGAGAATTCGTAATATAAAATTTGGAGTATATAAACTTTTTATAAATTGTAACATGTTCCTTATTATATTGTATTAAATGTTTGCACTAAAAATGTTAAAGTCTGTTTAAAAATAAATTTATTTTACTTTATAGCTGAAAATTCTTGTAAGTTCAGTTGACTATAAAATAAAACTTCCACTTAAGCAGAGGCTTCCACTCTGGACTGATCGACTCGAAGATACAATGGGCTATGCTCTATATTTGCATTATCCTATGCTTCTCTTCATTTTCAGTGCATTTGGGTGGATCCATAATCTATGAGTTGACAATAAAGTCTACATTTATATTAAGTAATCGATTTTGATCGATCCCAAGGAAATGATATAGATATCGAAAAACTATGTAAAGGCATATGCATTTAGTCTTTACCATTTTTGGTTCAAGGAGTCACTGCGTTCACTCGAACAGACAACCGGATATATAATATATGTACATATATACATATATACTGTTCAATGGTTCCGGGTATTAAAATCGCACATTACTACAAATCTAATTTAATTGCAATGACAGCATTTAGTCAAGCAATCAATCAGCTCTTGTTTAACATAGCGCATAATGGCGGTAACTTCAGATCCGATATCAGTTTATACCATTAACTTAATCAAATCAATAGTTCAATGCTGCCATTGGAACTGGACTATAAAGTTAGATGCAGTTCAGTTTGTACTTTTAACTTGGCGCAGAATGTTGGCGTTTCGTTTGTATACATTTTGTGCGCTTCTGGTGCTGCTTCGACCTGGCTACTTGAAGGCTTCGCCGCTCATTGAGTTGGCCGCACCATCACACAGCAGCTTCATCCACAATGTCATAGAGAAAGTCTTCAAGGAAAGACAAGTAGAGACACTTCTGTATATGAACCGTCGACAGAACCTCAATTGTCCTTCGAAGGAAGTCACTATGGATGGATTGGCTACTCTGCGCATGGATGAGAAAATCTCTATCAACGTAAAGGGGATCTTCAATAATGAAGTTCTCTGCTTGGTCTGTATGTCCGAGATGACAGATGTCCTGCTGCTGCACACCCTGGCCCAGAACCTTGAGGGAATGAGAGACGCGCGCATCGTAATTCTGCTGCAGACCCAGTCATCCAATCTTCAAGATAATTTCGCAATAATCGGTGAACAGGCCAATAATTACAATTTTGTCAATCTGATCGTGTTGCATTCTACTTCATTCGATGACAAAGAGCCGATTGTTGCATATCGTCTTCTGCCGTTCCCCACTCCAAGTTTTGCAGCAATTAGAGACCTAAATAATGAACAGATTTTTCCGAAAGTGTGGCGTGACTTTAAGGGAAAAACGGCTCTCATTTTACCCGATCTGGTCCCTATTCGTAGCATGATGACAATCAACCCTCGCACTGGAGAGAAATCTCTTAGTGGATTTTCAGATAGACTCATTATGGAGTTTGCCAAGAAAAACAACATCAAACTTCGTCACCTGAAAACTGTGGGTGATTCTGAGTATGTTGAAATAGTCGATGTTCGTAGGATAACCAGCGAAGGTATTCTTGATTTGCCAATCCGAAATCTTATACAGCCACCGAATCCTGGTCCCAATTTAGAATATGTAGATGTACAATTTGAGCTTACGAGCATATTTATTGTGGTTCCCTGTAGACATAGAGCTAAAATAGACGATGCCTTCTTAGGCTTGAGGAAATACTTCAAAATGCTTCTAGGATCATATTTTATATTCAATATATTTGAAACTCTGATCAAGTTCGGCTCAAATTGGATTCTCCGACGCAGACCCAATAATCAATACTTGAACTTAGTCTTAAACCTGCGGGCATTTGCTGGAGTCTTGGGACTTCCAATGTACCTGAGACGATATAGGAGTAGATATAGCAGTATTTCACTGCAGCAGATCACAATGCTGTTATGCATTTCCGGCTTGGTCTTCACCTCTTATTTCAATGCAAATCTCAGTACTCTGCTGACAAAGCAGCCGAATGATGCAAAATTTAAGACATTCGAGCAGCTAAGGAAGAGTGGATTAGATGTAATATTCGATAAGAGCATTCATCTTGACCTAACTTATGGCAATTCAAATATTTCTTTAAGAAATCTAGTACGGAATGTCAAAATTGTTCCCATAAATGAATATGTACGTCTAATTTCAACCCTAAATTCTAGCTGTGCCTATAATATGCATTCAAGTATGTGGAGGGTTGTAAATATGTATCAGAGAAATTATAAACGAAATAGGATATGCAATTCCGATGGATTAAGTCTAATTAGGAATGTTCCTCTCAGATATGTGTTCAAGAGAAACTCAATTTATAGGGAGGCGTATACAAATTTTGTTCAAGATACTCTTACTTACGGATTGCTCAGGCACTGGAAATTTCATGCTGGTATTAAAATTATGTCGACTCTGCATTCACGCGGGCCGCAAACTAGACTAAGAAGAAAGCCTGTGCCCCTACAATTTAGGGACTTTATGTGGTTATGGAGGATGCTCAGGCTATACTACTTTATGGCAGGCTTAGTTTTCATTGCTGAAATTTGTGTGGCCCATTGGCACAGGAAACAGCAGATGAGAAGGCCAGTCATTAATTAGGAAATTCGTATGTTATATATCCACACGTAACATATAAATTACATAAATACGTATATCACAAACAACAATTGTAAATGTTTTCACAATAACAATGTATATGAATGTAGTTCGCTTTAAAGTCGTCTCTTTCTCTCTCTTTTTGGTGTCTGAAACTTGGAGAGCTACCTGATAGTATAACATTCGTATAACAGAAATGAGCACCTGGCACTTTGTCAAATAAATTGTTTGAATTATTTGGTAATACTTAATTATAAAACATTGTTAATTTGAAACCAATTGGGAGCAGTTGTAATCCCTGAATAAAAAAAAAAAAAATACAAATTGAATATTTTAAAGATTATGCACTAATAAATGAATTAATGAAACTTCATTCTAAAGAAATTTACTTACCTTTATTCTCTATTCATTACAGCAATATACACTTAAAATTCAACATTTTTAAAAACAACGCTTTAAATCTTCTTTGAGCAGAGAACTATTAATCAAACAGCTCCAACAAAATATTTTAATGAAAATCAGAGCAATAAATAATTCAGCTTGTCTCAAGCTAAATCATACATTAAAATATATTTATAATTCATATATA